GTTGAGGAGCCTAGCTTTGCCAAGAGCACAGGGCCACCCACACTGCCAGCAAGACTCTTGCCTGAAAGTGCTTGGTTGAGAAAGTGTGGGCCTGGTAGCCAACCACCCTGTCTCCTGATGGCCTCCTGGTTCTGCTGCCTCTGCTGCTGCCATTTCTCCACCTCGGCTCCTCCCCATCATCTCTTGCTGTCTTCCACGTTACAGCTCCCGTAGTCTCTTGCGTTTAGAAGGTTCCCAGCGCGGGCCCAATGGCCGAAGGACATACTCTGCTCCTGATTCTCCTTGATGGTAGTGAGTTCCCCACTCTGTCTCTGGGATGACTCATCTTAAACCTAGTGGGACGGTAAAAGTGACCAATCCCTCGTAGGGTTCCACACACCTTGTTTGCATGACCCCTCACTCACAGAGCTGCTATTAACCTTGGAAGCTGTTCAATCCCCTTGGTGGGACACATGCCCTTCATTTGGACCCTGGCTGTGTCCAGAACTGTGTCCAGTAGCTCACTGCACCTCATGCCGGCATCATGCTGATATAAGTACAGCTGTGCCATGGGTCTGTGGTGACTCCAAGGCAGCTCATGGTGACAGTGCTTTCCTCACAGAGAGTGTCACTCTGCTGTGCATTGACCACCACCACCACCCCCTTTTCTCCTAGCACGAGACCTTGGCCATCTTTTCCCCATGAGGCTGCCTCACCACTCCCTGGAGTTCTCATCTATTCCCATCATTGGGGACTGGATGGATACACTGTAATGGACAAGGAGCTTTGGGAAGTTTGTGGGGAAAGTTCATGATGTTTTGCTCCCGGTTTTCCATGAAATTTTTGAAGCCCCTCCCCTCCTATTAGGCTTATCATGTATCTTTGACTAGCACAAGCAACATTGCAGTAACAAAGTAACAATACACCTTTACAACAGCATTTTACATGTGAAACATTTGTCATGACATTGTGCATGTGGATTGTTAATGTCCTGTGTGCATATTCAGAGTTTTGAAAGGTAGTACCAGTTTGGTCTCTACCACCCCCACAGTGAGCACATCTCTTTCCATGATCCAGTAAGCACCCAGGTTTTCCAATGGAGTGAGCACTGCCAGTCTGCCAGTTGAAGAGTGGTGTATCGTGTGACCTCTTTACCCCTCTAACGACAAGTGCAGGGGCCTTTCTTGTGTTCAAGTGTCATTTATGTTTCAGTTTTGTCATTGGCCTTCATTTTGCCCATTTTTCTGTTTCATCTTTTTACTTACTGATCTTTGAGTTCGGTAGGTTCTAAGGCATGCTGTGAGTGGCAGCTATTTCCCCTACTTGTCTTTGCAGACATCTGGCAACGTCACAGTGTTCTTCTCTCCATGAAGATGGGTCTGTCTGCATGTCCCGTCTCTTGGCACACAGACAGCTTCTGCAGTGTGCCAAGAGCGGCCTTCCCTCCTGGAGCTCCAGACAAGCCAGCCGCTGGGTGGCTGGCTGTCCGTGCTTCTGGAGTTTGTGGACTGCAGCGTAGGGGGCAAAGACATTCTTCCAGATGGGTGCTGTTCCCCCACACTGATGGAAACACGTCAGAGATTGACATCCGTTCCATTGCTTTGTTTCTGTCAACACATACCAGCACCAACTGTCTGGTTTCTATGGCTTTGCAATACATTTTTGTTTGTTTGTTTGTTT